AAACAAACTTTTAAATCAACACGTTAGTATGTTAGCGGAGTAGCGGTTTAGCGTGTGGCGGACAGCAGCCCACTAAACCCTCTCCACAGCGCACTCTGCACTAAAAAAATGACCTCTTGGGTTACCTTCAAGAGTTACTTTTACCAAGAGATTGTCAAGGTAAGAGAGTTAATCCCCCATATAAGTCCTCTTACTAACGTAATCCCTCTTAAATTATTTTTAGACATTGTACTCAGTTCTTCCGCGGATATTACTCGCGCGTTGCGTGGATGTTTTGGTGGAGGTTTATGTTTCGTTTCGTTTCGTTTCGTTTCAAACTAAAAGGAAAACCTCCAAAGCTGTGGGGATGTCTTCTTTGATATTTTGATTACAAGCCAAAAAAGGAGCTTCGGCTCTCGGTATGTTTTAATACATTTCGAAACTTTAATAGGAGTTTAATTAAGAGACGGCCCTTACACAAACAATAACAACTGAATGAACGGCAGAGAAATGAGTAGACAAACGAGTGCAAAGCAAACAAACGCCTAAACACAAGCTTGGCAACCGACCAAACAGATGGTTGAAAGTGCAGGCAGACGCCCGCAGCCCAAGTAGCAAAAGCAGTTTAAGCAGTAACGGCAACAACGCCAAAGGCAACATCGATTAAAAAAACCACTTAATATTCAACCTACGAATCTCGCGAGAATTTAGATTCATTCAGTTTGTCTATGCTGTCCGAAATATCCCAAACAGAATATGTAAGACAGCGTCAAAATTCGAAAAAGAAATTTTAAAAATTGTCCGTCGTATAGTTCACGTTCTCTCGAATATGCAGTATGTGGCTATTTCACGTTGTTGTTTGTGACCTTTTGTAAACAACGGCAAAGAAAGGAACAAAGAATTATGACGCACGCTTCCACAGCCATTGTACTCGTCGCCGTTGCCGTTGAAGTTTGCTTAATTTAACTCCCTAAAACCGAATAAACAGCCAAACACTGAACAGCCAAACGAGCACAAAACAAACGAAAGCGTACATCTCTGCTATGAAACGAAATCAAAATATATAAAATGGCGTTCCCGCCATTTCGTCTCAGGTAGTTTCGAGGAAGTCGCTTCGGCTCTCTACGCATCGCACGAGTAGCATCCTCGGAAGAACTGGGTGCCATGTGAAAAAATAACTTAAGAGGGATTACTTCAGTTAGAGGACCTATATAGGGGATTCACTCTCTTACCTTGATAATCTCTTGCTTTTACTTATGTTGTTTCTTCTGAGGGACCATATACAACATTCTTGATCCACAGCTACCAGGGCTCTAATTGGATTGCCTTGGTACATGAGTCAGCAGCTCAATGGCAACTGCGCATGTACGTAAACCTCACCGTACGAAATGACACCGGACTTATGAATACGTCCCCCGTAACGACAATGACGCCGATAGTACGTTTGAAATTTGGCTGTAACCACACCATTTTTATCCCAGGTATGATTCTTTAACGCCTGTGTTTTTCCCGTTTGGCTGCGCCTGAGCAACCTCGTATAAACTCGCTCTATCTGTCTGTCTTCTTCGCTGTCTTGTGCTTATACCAGGGGCACCCTGATCGTTTCGGTAAATAATCTGTTTGGAAGGCGTTTACTGAATCCCCTCCAATTGTCTCCTTGAACTTTCGTGATATGTGAAATTTAATGCCTACTTGTCGTTTTGCGTGGGAACCGCAACGAAAATCAGCCATGATTTTCGAAAGTTGCCTTATGTCCCACAGGAGACGGAGACTGAGGAATTAGTAAGTAGGTACGATTTTCGGAAAGGAAAGAGACCTTTGGATTTCGGGAAATGGACGAAAAAGCCCTAATCAGTTCGAGGAGACTCAAGTTTCTCTAGAATGACTAAACATATAACAATTTTCTTGCCGCGCTAAACACTCCAGATAGCCTAAAACAGCGTTTTAAAGGGTATTAGAGGAAACCGTCATTGGGTGCGCCCCTGGTATATAATCAAAACATATATTTCATATCTTGATAGTGACTGACGACGACAACGATGAGGTACGGTGCCGTTGGGCGAGGGGATATGACGACTGTGGACATATCTGTGGAGGCAATGGAATTCCAAACGCATGGATCTATTTTGTAAGTCCCAAAAGTATGGTGTACGGGGAACACCTGAGCCGAATCTAGGGGCGCGGTACAAGATAGGGCTGTTGGAGAGCGAGAATTTCCCTGCGGCTTAAAAAACTCTCTAACTAACAAGAGAACTAAGTAACTAATAGTGATCCAGGTCTGATGCTTACTGACACTGTCTATGCATTGTGACGCAAATAAACATACATTGTCGTTGTTATCAAGCAACATACCCTACTGGAAGGCAACTTTTTATCCCCTTATTAGCTTTACTGCCAACAAACCTCTTTATATAAACACTATTTAATTTCACTCAGCTCGATTAGCTTTTATGTTATTCTGGGTGAATTTACCTTATTTTCTGTTCCAATTATCTTTTTTTGTAACTAAGAGTTTTTCTATTTTGGTAATAAAGTATGTGTTGTTGTTACTCGGGACCACGTACCCCCGAATAGCGCATCACATCACACA